TGGTGCTGGGAAAACTGGACTGCTACATGTAAAAGAATGAAATTAGAACACTCCCTAACACCATACACAAAAATAAACTCAAAATGGATTAGAGACCTAAATGTAAGACTGGACACTATAAAACTCTTAGAGGAAGACATAGGTAGAACACTCTTTGACATAAATCACAGCAAGATCTTTTTTGATCCACCTTCTAGAGTAATGGAAATAAACAAATGGGACCTAATGAAACTGCAAAGCTTTTGCACAGCAAAGGAAACCATAAACAAGGTGAAAAGACAGCTCTCAGAATGGGAGAAAATATTTGCAAACAAATCAATGGACAAAGGATTAATCTCCAGTATATATAAACAGCTCATGCAGCTCAATATTAAAAAAACAACCCAATCCAAAAATGGGCAGAAGACCTAAATAGACATTTCTCCAACGAAGACATACCGATGGCCAAGAAGCACACGAAAAGCTGCTCAGCATAATTATTAGAGAAATGCAAATCAAAACTACAGTGAGGTACCACCTCACACCAGTTAGAATGGGCATCATCAGAAAATCTACAAACAACAAATGCTGGAGAGGGTGTAGCGTAAAGGGAACCCTCTTGCACTGTTGTTGGGAATGTAAATTGATACAGCCACTATGGAGAACAGTATGGAGGTTCCTTAAAAAACTAAAAATAGAATTACCATATGATCGAGCAATCCCACTACTGGGCCTATACCCAGAGAAAACCATAATTCAAGAAGACACACGCACCCCAGTGTTCATTGCAGCACTATTTACAATAACCAGGTCATGGAAGCAACCTAAATGCCCATCACCAGACAAATGGATAAAGAAGATGTGGTACGTATATACAATGGAATATCAGCCATAAAAGGAATGAAATTGGGTCATTTGTAGAGACGTGGATGGATCTGGAGACTGTCATACAGAGTGAAGTATGTCAGAAAGAGAAAAACAAATGTCATATATTAACGCATATATGTGGAACCTAGAAAAATGGTACAGATGAACCGGTTTGCAGGGCAGAAATTGAGACACAGATGTAGAGAACAAACATATGGACACCAAGGGGGAAAGCAGCCAGGGGTGGGGGTGGTGGTGTGATAAATTGGTAGATTGGGATTGACATGTATACACTGATGTTTATAAAATTGATGACTAATAAGGACCTGCTGTATAAAAACATAAAATTAAATTAAAAAATATATTTTTTAAAGTACATATTGTATTATTTTATTTATATAAAATTTAAAACAGGCCCAACTAATCTCTAGTGACAGAAGGCAGATCAGTGCTTGTTTGGGATGTAGAGATTGAATACCAAAAGACAGGAGGGAACTTTGGGATGATGGAAATATTCTATATCTAGATTATAGCAGTGATTACACGAGTTTGCACATTTGTCAAAACGCATTTCACTGTACTCTTAAAATGGGTGCAGTTTGTTGTGTGTAAATTATACGTCAACCTGATTTTTTAAAAAAGATCCTGTTCCCAGAGAGCTAAAAATACGAAATTTGTAATAACTTTTGTTTCAGACACAGTCTTTGATAGGGTGCTTTTAGCGATTTCATAGATTTTTTTTAACTTTTGCTTTTTTCCTTTACAGTTCTTTTTTAATTTTTTAATTCTCCAATCTAATGTGTTATATGTTTTTTACTTTAGAAATTAAAACTGTTATCTGTGTAATATTTAATTTTACAGTGTCCTATAGTGTGTCAGTGCTCTCATACACATTATATCACCCACAACCCAGAAAATTATTTTAATCCCCGTTTTATAGATGAAGATTAATCAAAACTCAGAGAAATTACGCAAATTGCCCTTTTCCTGTGTTCTCTCTTGTCCTCTATTTAATCATTTTGTAAAACAGCATATTTCCTTATTTTTTTCTCTTTCTCTAGTCTCTTTAAGGATTTACCTAGTTGTTAGAAGTAAAATAAACCAATTAAAGTCTAGCTTGGTTTACAAAAGATATATAATGAAAACCTTACAATCTGTGATCTCCTTGAGGACAAGGACAATATTAATCTCTATGTCTATGTCCTCCTTGCTTAGCACAGTGCTTGGTGCCCTGTGAATGTTTGCTACATGAGTTTCATTGTTTTCGAAAAATAATATTTCCTGTGCCTCTGCTCATAACTTCTCAAGTTATGAGAAGTTTCTAAAATGCTTTTGAAATCTTTTCCTAGAATTGGAAACATTATCTCTCTTTATTTATTTGAAAACTAATGAAAAACATTGAAAAGTAAACATCTCCCAAGAGTAAGCACCTTCTGTCATCCCATACCATCATACAACAGCCCCACAAAGAAGTCACTGCCAATAATTTGACGCCTATCTTTTCTGACTTCCCCAAGTTCACGCAGACATTTCCAACTATATGTATAAATATTTTCCTTTTTAAAAATGTAATCGTGCTATAGAAATTGATCTGGAGTGCAAGCTTTTTCCCATTTAGTTTACCATGGACACCTTTCTAAGTTAGCACATATAGAGGCACACCACATTCTTTAATGACTCTGTAGTATTCCAGAGTATAATTTTTACTCCATTTATTAAGCTATCTCACTATTCATGGACATTCTGATTGTTTCCATTTTTTTTAAAATAAAATTATTTATTTATTTTTGGCTGTGTTGGGTCTTCGTTGCTGGGCGTGGGCTTTCTCTGGTTGCGGTGAGCAGGGGCTACTCTTTGTTGTGGCATGCAGGCTTCTCATTGTGGTGGCTTCTCTCGTTGCAGAGCACGGGCTCTAGGCATGCGGGCTTCAGTAGTTGTGGCACCCAGGCTCAGTAGTTGTGGCTCGTGGGCTTTAGATCGCAGGCTCAGTAGTTGTGGCTCACGGACTTAGTTGCTCAGCGGCATGTGAGATCTTCCCAGTCCAGGGATCGAACCCATGTCCCCTGCATTGGCAGGTGTATTCTTAACCACTGAGCCACCAGGGAAGTCCCCGTTTCAAATATTTTATCAGTAAAACAGTGCTGAATGATGTACATAGAAGTTTACATATTCATTCAACTATTTTAAGCCCAGTGAGAAGAAATATTTGGACAAGACTAAGCATTCTCCACTTTTGGCATGCCTAATGATTTCCAACTTTGTTTCCATTTTATTAAGAATGTGATTATTGCCTGTCTCTGTATGTTTATTTTCCATTCAAATAATTGTACAAATACCACTATCCAAGGATGTCACTCCTTCCCTAATTGAACAGCTTGATGAAAGAGAGCACATCTTATGGCATCTAGCTATCTGCTGGTGTAGGAAAGTGAACTCAGTATTTAAAAGAAAGATTAGCATGGTTGCTGGTGTGTGAGGAACAGAAGTCAAGAGCCATCCATCAGTATTTTAAGTAGTAAATTCTCTGAGGGCATGTTCACTAGAAGCAGAGTCAGAGTCCAGGATTCTCGTGCAAGAGACTAATTGAGGGGATGCCCTCAGGACAGTCTGTGAGGAAATGATGGAAGCAGGAAAGAGCAAGGGAAGAAGCTAAGCAGAAGTGTCTTTCAGCTGAGCTCTAGCCTCCCCTGGTCTCCAGAGGGAGCTCTGGAGTGTGAATGTCACCCAGAGTTCCATTTTGTACCTTGCACCTCCACAGCCAAGCGGGGAATAATCCTCTCCTGGCATTTCCTACCCAGGCAGCTCCATTAGCTGAAGGCAGTTCGTAGAAAACGGAACAGCTGTGAGTTGTTACGAGCCAAGCTCAAAGCAGTGGAGCGAGGAGTGCACCAGCCTTATAAAAAGTCTGGAGAGGCACTAGTAGGTCGTCTTGCCTGGAGTCCTTTCCCTTCCCCCACGGTGCCATCTCCATCCACTGAAAAGTGTACTCATTCTTCAAGATCCAGCCCAGCCCCAGACCACCTGCACTGTGTAGCTTTCCCTAATCACAGCAACTGGATTTGAAAGGTGTTTCAGTTAACTTTTATAATCGTAGATTTTTAAAAATCAGAATGAAAAAATACTCTAAAAAATGTGTTCAAGTCCTGGCATTACAATCATATACTAATTTTCTAAACCTAGGAAGCAGTTAAGCCTCTTTGAGCTTCAGTTTTGATATTTGTAAAATTCTGGTATTACCTGCTCAACCTACGTCACCAGGTTGTTGTAAGAGTGAGATGAAATCTTGTATCGGAGAACTTCTTACATTATGTACCCACGTGTACAGTGAAGACTTCCCTTAGTCTCATGTAGATGAACCCCCAGACTTGGAAGTGCATTCTTGGGGACATCAGCTTCTTGCTGTCACTGTCTGTCCTCCAGATAGCACATACTGCAGTCAGTTGGCTTGAGCACAAGTGAGTCACTTTACCTGGATGTAAAAATTTATCAAGGCAGCCAATATAATATTTGTGTTTCCTTAATAACACACCATTTCAGAAATTCTGATTTGTGTTATGATTATTTTGGATTTATATCCTGTATCCCCTGTTAATTTTTAGGTTTCTGAATGGGAAACACATTTCATATACTCCTTTGTTTCATCCATGCTACCTGCCACGTAGTCTTGCATGTGGTAGATATTAAATAACGACTTGTCAAATAAGGCCGAGAGGTTTTTTAGGGAAGACTTTACTAGCTTCTCTAGGGCTAGGACCCTTAATTTGTCCTCAGAGCTCATAGTTTTGAGCCTTATCTTAACTAAATGAGAGGCAGGATAAAATGGTTTATTATAATCATTCTAGAGATGTGGCTTTAAGTGAAAAGCACCTAGTTAAAAAGAAACGCAATTTAGAGACCTTTTATGTAGTTTTAGCCTCCCTTAACTGATAACAGTGAGATAATCCTTTAACAGAAAAAAAAATGAAGATATGAAAACCGACTTGAATAGTTTATCTCTAATAATATTAACATGTGCTGAAATGAAATATATAAACTAGTTTTTTAAGACTTTTAATTTAGTAACTGATTTAGTAATTTCAGAAGCTTTCATCATCCTGGAAGTCATTCTCTTCTTTTCCTAAAATTGTAGGTGTATTTTTTATCTCTGTGTATAGGACCATTTCACTTCTCCGGATGAGTACGATGACCCCACTGTGCTCTATGAAGCCATTGTGTCTCATGAGAAGAACCTCGTCATAGCCCACGAAGGGGACCCTGCGTGGCGGAGTGCAGTCCTCGCCAACTCACCCTCCCTGCTTGCTCTGAGGCACGTCATGGATGATGGCACCAACGAGTACAAGATCATCATGCTCAACAGACGCTACCTTAGCTTCAGGGTCATTAAAGTAAGGTTTGGAGGCACTTGTTTGCCTCTGAAAACAATGGAACTTAGATAACTGTATCCAAACTTTTAAAAAGTAGTTGAAACTCTTTTATAGAAAACAAAAATAATGACCATACTACATTAACGTTTATTGTTTTTGAGCTCTTAATTTATTTTGTCAGTAATTTACTCTGTCCTCTGAAATTTTTTCATGTGCCATAAAGCCTTAAAGTTTTTGCTTATTTCTCTCTCGGCAGTCTCTTGCCTGTTATATGTGCTCTTCGGGCAGCATCTCTTCCTCAAATGTCAGCAGTGTATTGCTAACAAGATGTGATTCCTAGGTTGCAAAATAACACTCCAGCTGTACTTCACAGTAGCTAACTGTAAATGGTTCACTCTAACTTGCTTTTTTGTTTTGTTGTTTTTTTAAGCATCTCAGGACTTTAGGAGGCTTAATCTCTGACATTTTATTTTGATAGTTTGTAATGTTTTTTCTTCATTTAATCAGCCCCCAAAATCACAAACATCCTTTCAACTCTAAATATTTGTTACCTCTCATTTCTATCAAAAATATTTATTATCTTAGTTACAAAATTCAGTGCTTCACCAATTTAGAAAACTAAATGGACTACATTTTACTTGGTATTTTTACAAGACAGCAGAGGGAAGAGCTCTGTAGGTGTTTATTATTTAATAGCCTAATGACCGTGGAAAATAGTTAACTCCTGTTCAGATGTGACCTGCTTATATTTGTTTCCTGCTTTTCACAGTTGGTTATCGTAATGTCTTTTATGTCCCTCCCATTTCTACTCTTCTGTTTATATAAATTTTATTCTTGGCCCCTTAACCTAATTCCCATGTGTTCTGGTTTTCAGGTGAATAAGGAGTGTGTCCGAGGCCTTTGGGCAGGGCAACAGCAGGAGCTTGTTTTCCTACGTAACCGTAACCCGGAGAGAGGTAGCATCCAGAATGCCAAGCAAGCTCTGAGGAACATGATAAACTCATCTTGTGACCAGCCTATTGGCTACCCGATCTTCGTCTCACCCCTGACAACTTCTTACTCTGACAGCCATGAACAGCTTAAAGAAATTCTTGGGGGACCTATCAGCTTGGGAAATATCAGAAACTTCGTAGTGTCAACCTGGCACAGGTGAGCCCTAGGACTGCCTTTTCCAGTGGTGGTGTGACCTGACCCGCTTAATCTAGGCAGTGTGCGTTAGCACCACCTGGAAAGATTGTAGGAAAAGTACAGATGCCACGGTACAATAAAAACCTGTTATACCTGAGCTTCATGAAGTAGAATCTGAGCATTTGTATCTTCAGACTCTTATTAAGTAAATCTAATGTACAGTAGTCTGGTGAGGAACCACTGCTCTAGCATTTAGTAGAATCTTGGATAATTCCCTCCTTTTAGTTTTTTAAACTGTCTATTGCAGCTTATTGCCACTATTAGAATGTGTGGGTCAACAAACAGGGCAAATGAGAGAAAAATAAAAGAAACTGGTGCAAGTCGATTACATTCTTTTTGTATTCCGTTCCAGCAGTAGGGGGAGCGTGCTGTCCATGTTGAAACTCCTCCTTGTGAGATGCAGAGATACTGCTGCCATTTTAACAATTAGTCAGCACTCACATCTCAAATATTTAGTGTCTTCAAGTATGCACATGAATTTTTTTCCTCTGCCTTTTGTGTGGTAAATTATGATATATGGTGCAGGAACATCATAATTTGATGGATGGCAAAGAAAAATCTCAGATTAAGAGTTGTTCAGATCCTTAAATATCAAAACTTAATCCAAAACAAGACTAGAGCAACAAACTCAGAAATAGGTGTTTTAAAATTCTTCCAGGAATACCCAGCATTAAAGAGTAAAATTTCACCATTTTAACGTCTACCCCTATTCAAACAGAGGGAAGAATACAAACCAGGGTAGTGTTCAAAGAAATTTTCTTTTCAAAAAATACGTGTTGTGCTGGAATTGCCTTGTTTGCCCAGGACTGAGTGGTTTTCTGGGATGCAGGATTTTCAGTGCCAAACTGAGACAGCTGTGGGCAAGCCAGGAGAGTTGGTCACCCTACGTTTTACAAAAGAGAAGAGGGCTTCCCTGGTGGCGCAGTGGTTGAGAGTCCACCTGCCGATGCAGGGGACGCGGGTTCGTGCCCCGGTCCGGGAGGATCCCACATGCCGCGGAGCAGCTGGGCCCGTGAGCCATGGCCACTGAGCCTGCGCGTCCGGAGCCTGTGCCCCACAACGGGAGAGGCCCGTGTACCGCAAAAAAATTAAAAAATTAAAATAAAAAAGAGAAGAAAAATTATTACAGCAGTTCTCTTCAGTTGTGCTACAGAATAAATGAGGTTTAATTTAAATCAATTAGGCATTCGTGGGTTTATACAGTGACAAGGATACTATTTCCAGCTGAGATCTTAATGGAACAACTTGTTATGTGCAGTTCTTTGTTATGGTGTAGAAAAGATGATAGAGTGTAGTGTAAAAGTGAAGTTGATTAGAAGAACGGAGGCAGTGAGTATGAGGGAGATACGCAAACATCATAGACTCTTTTGCTTCTTAATGTTGATTGCCCCATGAAGATTTCCAAAGGTGAACATCAGTAGCATTAAATGTTCGGAATACAGTACCTATCTTGAAGTGATCTTGGGACCATGCCTCCTACTCCGGTGTTTGTTCCTAGGTTAAGGAAAGGTTGTGGAGCTGGCTGTAACAGTGGTGGCAATATTGAAGATTCTGATGCTGGAGGTGGAGCCTTTTGCACTAGTAACAGTGCGACAACTGCCAATGATCCCCACAGCAGTGCATCCCAAGGAAGCACTGGAAACCCAGGCCAGGGACCGGGAGCAGGACTCCATCCGCCTGTCACATCTTACCCTCCAGCACTAGGTAATGTGAAACAGAATTATGTGTGTAATGTTAGCCTCTCAACTGTGGGGTTCAGGTAGTATGTGTGTATAAAGAGGGTGACATATTACCTACTTGGAAATATATAAATAGAATGTTTTGTTTGATTCCCAATAGGACGTTATCCTACTTGTTTATATTAATCATTTAATATATATAAATATACACCATTTGAAATAGCATTTCTTTGAAAGTATCGTTTTTAAAGGCCAATAATAGTTAACTAATATAATTTACTTCTCTCCTGTTGAACAACGATTTGGTTTCTTCTGAGTGTTGTAATAATCTTTGTATATAAATCTTTGTAATTACTTATTATTTTCTTAGGCTGGAAACTTTAAAAATGGAATCAAGTCAAAGTTTATGAGAATATTTAAGACATTATACATAATGCCAAAAATCTTTCCAGAATTCTTTTTTATTTCTTTTACACCAATTGGTACTCTGACCAGTCGTCTAGAGGAGTGACCAGCTTTGAGTATCATTGTTTCCACCTCTGCTGCCTCCTCTCTCAGAGAGACAGGAGAAGGGGGGTGGTCTTTAGTTGCATATTTTTAATTTGCATTGCTCTAATAATACCTGAGGTTGGAAACTTTTAAATGAGTTTATCAGGTCTTCTTTCTGAAGTACATGTTAAGTCTCTTGCCCATTTTTCCACTTGGTTATCTTTTTCTTATTTGTATATTCTGGATTGGAACTCTTGGTCAGTTTTCTGTACCACAGACGTCTTTTTCCATTCTGTATCTTGGCTTTCCCTTCTCTTTCTGTGAAGAGTGGCTTGCCTTTTTTTGATAAGTTCTTAATTTTTGTGTAGAGCAATTTACTGATCTTTTCCTTTTGATTAATACTTTTTGTATCCTATTTAAGAAATTTTTCCTTATCCCAAAGGAGGCTATTCTTTTACTAATTTGCCTTTTACATGAGAGCTGTAATCCACCTGGCATGCAGCAGGACTCAGATCTTACCTGTTCCCGGATGGCTGGTCGGTTGATCCAGCACTGTCCTTTCCCCCTCTGTTTTGCATGGATCAGATGAAGTTTTAAAACATTTACTTAAAATGATTCAAAAAAATGTAATGGCACTGGAATTGTTAAGACTCTAAATAGGTGTGTGATCGACATTTTGTTATGTTCTTTTTTAACTTCTGAGTGAAAACCTAAAACTGCCAGTGTGCTTCTTTAAATACACCTTTTACTTTTAACATTGATTAGCTCTTTTTATTTTCAGATTAAAAAGTACATGTAGTTATTTTTCGATATAATTAATAATAATTTTCTAATAATCTTCACATCACTCTTCACAAATCTGAAGAATCCTATCGAGCCATTAGAAAAAAGGACACAGAATAACCTACTATTTAGTATCACTGACCATTCATATTCAGTAGTGATCCCTCAATGCACATGCACATTACAGTGTGCCATCACTGTGCCTCTGTGGGTGGCATAGCTTGTCATTGGGATAGATTGAAAGGGCATTAATACTGTATTTTGAGAAATAGTAGTTACAGAGCTTGCCACATAGTAGATCCTTAATAAATATTTCTCACTGTCTCATTTCTATGAGATATTCATGTATTCTGAAATATTTCAGTGAAAGAAATTTTAGGCTTTATCTCAACCTAAATACCTGCTATTTCCTATAAATTATTTAATTGTATTTTTTTTATGCCCCAGAATTTGAATTTTAAAAAGCTTCAGCAAATAGAAATTATGTTACAAAAACCACATAAGAAAATAGATCTCAGATATTTATTTCTTTTTGGCAACTTTAAAAGTTTTAGGTATAAATATTAAGTTCAGTAAATTCACCAACTAATTTAAGGTGCGAGGCTTAAGGGAGAAAGTCTTAGAAACTACTGAAGAAGCAGTTGTGTTTGGGTCATCCCACTGAGAAGGAGCGCTGCTGTTGTTTCTCCCTCCCCAGCCGCTAGCCACAGCTCTCACTCCGTGCAGTCCAGCCTGGTCCGGCAGTCCCCTGCCCGGGCCTCTGTAGCCAGCCAGTCGTCATACTGCTATAGCAGCCGGCACTCATCTCTCCGGATGTCCACCACGGGATTTGTGCCTTGTCGGCGCTCTTCCACCAGCCAGATATCGCTTCGCAACTTACCGTCATCCATCCAGTCCCGCCTCTCTGTGGTGAACCAGATGGAACCCTCCAGTCAGAGCGGCCCGGCCTGTGTGCAGCATGGCCTGCCTTCCTCTAGCAGCTCCAGCCAAAGCATCCCAGCCTGCAAGCATCACACCCTCGTGGGCTTTCTTGGGACAGACGGCGGTCAGAGCAGTGCCGCTGATACACAGCCCGGCAACACCTTAAGTCCTGCCAATAATTCCCATGCCAAAAAGGGGGAGGTGATTTACAGAGTCCAGGTGAGTAAGCCCACGGTTCTTCTTGCACTGTTTCTCTTACTCGTTTGTTTTTATTTCTTGTTCTTTTGAGTGAAGGACTCTTGTGAAGACACACCTTATATTGCCTAGTCTGAAGACTAGAATAGTTTTGAATGTTGAAAAAATGTTTCTGCCAGTATAAAAACTGAAAGCAAGGGCTTCCCTGGTGGTGCAGTGGTTGGGAGTCCGCCTGCCGATGCAAGGGACACAGGTTCGTGCCCCAGTCCGGGAAGATCCCACATGCCGCGGAGCGGCTGGGCCCGTGAGCCATGGCTGCTGAGCCTGCGCGTCCAGAGCCTGTGCTCCCCAACGGGAGAGGCCACAACAGTGAGAGGCCCGCGTACCGCAAAAAAAAAAAAAAAAAACTGAAAGCAAGCAGTTTTTCACTGGTGGTATTTGTTCGCTCTTCAGCCATGGTTATGTGACCATTGCAGTTAAGGTCTCCTAGGAGGCTAAAAGGAGTTCAGGTGGCTCTTTAGGTGGTTTTTTATTCCGTTATAGTCAGTGGAGAATTTGAGACACTGTGAAAGAAATTCTGTTTAGGATTATATAATTATTTGTCATCGAGGGGAATATGAATTCTTGAATTCATTCATTCATTTTTGAATGAATGATCCATATTTATTTATACTGCAGATTGTGGATCCCAGTCAGATTCTGGATGGGATCAACCTGTCAAAAAGGAAAGAGCTGCAGTGGCCTGATGAGGGTATTCGGTTAAAAGCTGGGCGAAACAGCTGGAAAGACTGGAGTCCCCAGGAGGGCATGGAAGGCCACGTAAGTTCTCCTATGAAGCTGGTGCTCTGACTTTTTTGTAGCCTGACTGGTATGCCTGGTTTTTAGCTGATTTATGTACTTATGCTTAATTACCAAACTGAATTACTACCTCTAATCTTAAGGATAGAGTCTGTGAGTGTATTCAGGGTCTCTGCCACTAACTGCTTGTTTTATTCTGAAACATTAGGTGATTCACCGTTGGGTGCCTTGCAGCAGAGATCCAGGTACTAGATCCCACATCGACAAGACAGTACTTCTGGTTCAAATTGAAGATAAATACGTGACTGTAATCGAAACTGGGGTACTAGAACTTGGGGCTGAAGTGTGAGCCAGTGTTTTATAACTTCATTTCTTTTCCCTCAAAATTCCAAGAGATTGGAAAAAAAGAGGAGAGAGCAGAAGATGCCTGCAGGTATCCCTTTGATCCTGTAGGAGAGACTTGAACATAGAGTGGGCTTGGTTAAGCACCTCTCCTTCGCCCTTCACCCTGACTCCTGTCACTGTCTCCATCCCCAAATAAAGCTGAAATATTTTTTTAAGTTAGCTGCTGAGAAAACATCGTGCATGAAGGATAAAGTTCTGTTAAAATACATCCTTAAAAAAAGTTTTTTCCTATGCATTGCCTATGCTTTAAATCAACAAACTCTTGCTTTCTAAACTATGATCTCATATTTTTCTAATTTTTTTGCCAAAAATAATTGCCATGTTTTGTCATAAAACATGAAATCCATTTACCTTGATTTTTAAAAACAGACAAGTGTAGAAACCTTCAGTTTGACATATTGCAGTATAAAAGTTTAATGTACAGTGAAAAAGACTATGAACAGACATAGATTTATCTTATTCCTTGAACGCTAAAAACTTTAATGAAAAAAACTGCACTAATTTTTTACAATGCACTATAAAGTCTGAGATTTCTCAGAACATTTATTTATATATAAAAATAAAATACCATTATTTAAATTGCCTTTGGGATTAACCCCTTCCCTTTCCTTATACGTAGCAGGAACTGTGCTGCTCATTTTTCTTTAGTAGTCTGTACTTCATGCCAGTCCATTGGATGTTTCCTTTAAAATGAATACTTAATCTCAAGATACACGTAGCTTCATCACTGGCATTTCCCGGAGCCAGTAGTCAGTGACTCAGTCCCGTGAACACTCCTGCCAGCTCCTGTGTCCACATTTCAGATGGGCTCCAACACTGTGTGCGTCCCAGCTACCCTGTTTCTCCCACTTGGGGCAAGTTCTGCTGGGGTCAGTTCTGGGAAGAAAATACTTCTGCTTTTCAAAGAAGAAGGTGAACGTCCTGGAATTTAAAGAAAGGATGGATTGCCTTTTATTTTAAGAGTTCTTAGCTCTTGAAGTTATTCACATGCAGTTCAGTTAATCAAGTAAAAGTTTTTCAAACAAAATTATCCAAATGGTGCAGTTCTTATTGTTATATCCCTCTTTAAAACTTTGCCTATTATTTTCCTCCTCTCTTCTTATTCTATTACTTGAATTTTATTTCCTGTGATTTATAGTGTGTAGCTGTAATTTGAAATATTTATAACTGTGATGAACTTGACTTAATTCATATGTTGTCTCATAACTTAAATTTTATTGGTTTTTTTTAAAATGTATGTATTCAGGGAAATATATAACTCAGATTTACAATTAGACTAGGTGGGAACTGCAGTTTAGATTTAATTTTCAACATATGGCGTTTTTTAAATCCTTCAGAAAATTTTTCTCCTTTTGTGTGAAACCCCAAAGAAGACTGTACATCTGAGCATTTAGGAGCAGCCATCTTTCTGCCCCCTGTGAATGGAAAGTAAAAGGAAGCAGGTGAAGTTAATTTTAGTCATACATTTCGTTTAGTCCATTATATCCAAAGTATTGCTATTTCACCATGTGGTACTAGCCGTATTTCAGCTACTTGCTAGCCACAGTATCACATGACACTTCAGTGGAAGGAATGAAAGCTAAGGAAATAAATAGCTAATATATAGCCTCTGATTGCATTTTCACTCCAAAACCTATTTACTTTTCCTTTTTCCAATTTTAAATTTTTGTGGGTATTCAGGAGCCGATGTGCCTTGTGTTGAGGTTTCCAGACTTCACACACTTTGCAGAACTTACTGTTGAAAAACTTTCTATCAAATGATTTACTGAACATTTACACAAAGGTACCCCTTCTAAATTGACCAGTTAAAATGTATTTTTCCTGATGCTGTCATTATATTCTGTGTTTGCCTTATTTTGGCAAATCTACAATATGCCATTAAGGTTCAGGTTCTTCTTTTTTCTTCTGAAACTGAATATATGATCTGTTTGTCTATCTGTATTATCTAAAATCCTCTCAGAGGAATTATGCTCCCTGCTGCTTGTTCCCTTTCTGAGATGAATATGATCTCTTCATGGTCATTGCCTAGATGAGAAGATAAGTGGAGCCTTTCCAGTCTTAAATAGAAGATACTTCATTTTCCTACACAGAGAAAAAGAAAAAACCTGAACTTCAAATGTTTAAGACTAAAACATATAGTCTTTTTAAAATCATAATACTTTTCTAATAATTGCATCAGGGGAAGCATTGATAATTAAAGAAGGAGTCATGTCTTAAAAATAATTGGAACTAAAGTATAATATAGAAATATACACACTTTCATTAATTAAGTTGATTATACATGTCTTATTCAACCCTGTCCCCTGCCACCCCACACCCCCTTGGAGATTAGTGAGCTGTTCATTTAGATTCCCTGCTTAGCCTTTTTGATTAGTATATAAGACTCCAGTATACACACATTAGCATCTTTAGTTCACAGTTGCCAAAACTTTTCAGAGTTCCATAATTTGAAAGTAAAAATATGTAATTAAAACACTAGTTTTTTTCATTTGCTTTAAATAGTTTTATTGATATCTTTCGGGTTTTTTTCTTGTTTGATTTTGCTTTTTCCCCCTTTAGAGAGAGTTCTGGAATAAGTTATAAATTCCTAGCTCTTTTGCTGTTGTTGTTACTCAGTGTTAAAAATCATTTTATAACTCAAATTTTTGGTTAATCTTCCAGTTTATAACTTGGTGTAAGCCCTATTTTTACACCATTTTTCAATACTTGATAAAACTTTATATGTTCACTTTTTTCTAAAGAACTATAATTTTTCCAAAAGTCTAGATTAATACAAGATGCTGATCTTTAAGGGACTTGGGAGAGTAGGTGGTGAGGCTCTATATTTTTAAGGTAAAAGGAGATTAATTACCTTTCAGGAAATTAGCGAACAGACTTCATCAGTGTTCTGCCTTCTTTGAGTTTCCATTACTGGAAGATTAACTTCCATTAGATTTGAAGTTTTTTTTTTTTAATATTTCAAGTAAATCTGAGATACTTCTGCAGACCCTTGAAACAGAATTAGTCAGACAAGATTTCTCTCCCGAGTGAGCTATGGAAAATTACTCTGTGTACCAAATGTCAGGCAGTGAAAATACAGGTTTTTACGTAAGAAACAACAGCTCATTAAAAAGATGTATTTTTCTTCCTGGGTTAGTTTACTTTTCCATCTCATATCAAAATATAAAAAAAAACAGCCTCAAATCTAAGCAAGGGTAGCTTAGCCTTAATGAATCCCACTTTGCTTCTGAGCAGCATCCTTCTGCCTCTGCTTAGGAAATCTTCATTTGGTGGATTGTTGCACTGAGTCACATTCATCCAGAACTGAGTCTTTTAAACTTACAATTTGCCCAGAGACTAAGGTTATTGTTTTCTTTCAAAACTCTTCCCTCCTAAATATGTGACTTGAGAAGAAGATAACAATAATTTTGCATGAGAATTCTTTGAATTTATGTTTACTGGCTACAAAACTATAAATGGCTGCCCGCATTGTGATTGACTTTTGTGTTTGTTTTCATTACTTTTTCATGAATATGGACACAGCCCCCCCTTTTTTTTAAAGTCCTCAATATTCATTCTTGTTCTTTTTTGTAGTATATTTTAATCACGTAAAATTACTTTGCTTGGACACAGACCAAGGGTAAGATGTCATTCAAGGCTAAGATGATACTTGGAGCCCATTAATGGACTTTGAACTTTCTGTTTCAGTCATATATGGAAATTGAGTTTTATTTATCTGGAGAAAGAGGAAAATTAGCTATTACCATGTATTTGTGCAGCATAAATTTTAATATTACGTTGGATATGTATAGTTTTTTTTAAATTAAGTATTAAAAAACCAGCCTCTCTTTTCTTCACTTCATTTTTTTAAAAAAATCTGGTTCATATATACCTAGTCCTTCTCATTTGTTTAGGTGATTGGAAAGAAGTTAATTATTATACAAATAGATCTGGTAGGTATGTGAGTGAAGTATTAATTTTGTTTGAAACAGATGTATATTTTCTGCTTTGAATCCCCTCTCCAGAGTCATCTTGTCAAGAATTATGTGTGATAAGAATTTCTCTTTACTGCCTATCAGCCACATATTCTTTCTGAATTAGAGAAAATAAGTTCTATTTGTGAACTGAACTTCATTATCTGCCGTTTTATGGAAGCAGCATAACATTCTTTGGGGGACCAGAGCTGAGTGTCATCACAAGGTTACATGACAGCTCTCTTCTAAGGCACACCTATTATATAGGGTTATGCCTTTTTTCTATGCTTCAGCTCTGTACCTGACAATTTATGATTCAGAGGATCCAAGCTAGAAGGAAGAAAGGTCATCTAAGATTGTGATAAGGATGAATTCCTGCGTGGTATTTGCACAGATGGGGTGATACCCTGGAATTCAAAGCAGAGTAGTAGTCGAGAATGAGATGGCTGCTCCAGATGACTCTTGGATTTAGCATAATTGTGGTTAAACAAGATTTTTTATATATGAAACTTGATTCTACAACCAAAATAATAGAAATGGGGGGGAAATCATGTCTGCTTATGCTTTTTTAAAGTTTATTATAGTTTAAGTAAAAATAAATTGTAAAAAATGATTACCTTAACCCTGTACAAGTCTGGCAATGAGCTCTGCATGAGGAAATGGAAGAAAGAATACTGAAAATGATTCCAGGAAGGTAGGTGGGAGGAAGGAGAATGGGTTTCCCTTTTCTGATCATGGGCTCTGAAAGTATTCATTGCCTCTACCAGCATTCAGTATAAACCAGAGATAAGAATATATGTACTCACGTGTGTCTGTGAGTGTGTGTGTATGCGCGTGTCTGAGTGTTTGTTATTCTAAACAGCTTGTAAATACGGTAGATGTTTAAAATGGAAACTAAAAGCTGAGATTGTTTTTTCTTTGCAAATATATTGCATCAGAGATACAGTATCGACAGTGGATAAAACACGGAGGAAATAAATTTTTTTTCATTTTGCCTTCTGTCCATTTTTGTCAAATTAAGAAAAATCAGAGTTTACCATATTAAGTTCTGCCTAGCGTATTTTAAAAACATGTACTTGGTTCTGAAAATAATCATTTTAAACAGAAGCTTTGACCTATTAACATGGGATTCAGCTTATAATAGAAATGTATAAATTTCATAATAAAAGGATAGCTTTTCACACTTGGCAGAAAGGTTGTAGTTTACATCTTCTGAACCTATCTGAATGTGTCCTATTAATGATATAATATCAGATGGAACATGTAGGATGATGGATGAAAATGCGTACATGTTCACTGTATCACACTAAATTACAGTACAGAAAATGGAAAGAACATACAGGTTATAGTCATCAAAATCAGACAAATGCTAACTTGGTGTGTGTACTAACCCACTGATTTCATGTATAATACTTCAAGAAAATGCAAGCTGACTTACAATGATAATAGATATACTCTTGACTGAGTCACTTATTAATCCTTCAATGAGTCATTTTAACTATAAATAACAACCAAAGCCAGCAGGGTGCAGGTGACGTGCCACTGGCATCAGAGTCCCAAACAGTTTGCTGTCTTCCTGCCCAGGATCACAGTGGCACACCTAGAAATGTAATGGCGTTTAATCTTATAGGATCTTATAGGACAGTATTTTTTCTAGTGACAGGAAACATGCTGGTTAAATGAAACACATCTTCAAAGAAAGGGATTTTCTGTGTATGTGATCTACATTAATCTTAGAGCCAGAGATTCAAAAGGGAGTTGACCTGAAATTTGGGTCCCCTAAAAGCTCTTCGTTGTTCGTAAAGTGCAGTTTACTTAGGATTTTTTTTTCTCCTAAAGGATCTGAAAATGTTGGCCTGTAACCGATGAATCTCACCATGTAGGTGCATTTTCCTCTGGGGAAGGTAAAACACACCTTGTGAAGTAAGGACGTGACGAAATGATGGCTTTTGGGGTATTCATTCAGCACTTACTATATAAAACGTTTGTTTTATTCCCCTTTTCCCCCATTCATATGTGCTTATTAAAGAAAACTAAATATGATTGAACTTCATGCTTAGAAAAATGTAATTTGGTACAAGAGGATCCCTAGATCGCTCTGTAATTTCTCAGGATATATATTAACAGCAAGTGGTAAGAGGTGAATCCGTCTTATCTGAAAGCCTTTTAAGAAACCATTCAGTTTCAGTGCCCAGTAAACTGTGCTGAAAGGGAAAAGTCATCTTTTAGTCCAGGGTTCCTTTTTGCTCCCAAGGACATTGTATGAATCCATAGTAACCGGGCCCATGTAAGGATACTCCAGGGCAGTCCCATCCTGAAGCACAAGCATCCTGACTTGTCTTTATCATATAGTCACCATCCCAGGCCAGCACTGAATTTTATCAGATACCAAAAGCAGTGTTTTTAATACTGTTAATGGGTTTGCTCTCAAAAAACACCCACCACTTCTCGGTTGTGTACTAGTTAATAACACAGGATGTCCCAGTGGGAACTCAACAGTGGAGTACAAATGGCTGAAGTAAGGTATACCTTTTTTTTAGACAAAATGCAGGTTTATCTAGCTTATAAATTTGGGGATGGCTCCCTTGGTACAATTGCATTAAGATACTATTTAAATAGTTCTAAAATATTTACTTAGAATGCTCACAGTTGCAAGGAAGAAAAAACCCAATTCAAAGTTCCTGAAACAGGAAATTGGCTCATTATAAAATGAAAGGTAAACTGGGCTTTCAGGATTGATTAATCATGTTACTCCAGCTCCGTGTATCTAATTTTCTCAACTCTGCCCTCCTGTGTATGCTGGCTTTCTTTTCAGACTGGAACTAAGTGTCTATTTCTAGACCTCACTCCATACACATTATCATTCAGAATAAAACACTTCCTGTTACCTCCCTTAAGTGGGAAAATCTCCCAGAAGCCTGAGCATATTTCTCCTTGCATCTCATTAATGTAAGAGTTGACATATGCAAGATCCTTAACCTGTCCCTATGTCCTGATTTCCTGAACTGGTCACTGATAAGAACAGTCACCACGATTGGCTCAGACAAATCAGAGCTTAGCCCGGAACCCAGAGTTCACTCAGCAAACAGCATGGTTGCTATACGATGTGTGCGAAGGAGTTGGCCACAATGTCCGCAACTGTTCTGTACATAGCATTTTGGAACTTGAGTACTGTTTTCAAGAAACGAAGGCTCAGACTACCTACAAAATAAGGTGTTTCTTTTAGGATGCATCTGTAGCAGACCTAGAACAGAAAGTCAGCAGAAACTGAGGTGGACTAGGTCCAAGTGTTTGCTCTTTTTTTCTGAGGGGCTGCCTTACATCTCATCGTGCTTCTGCTTTTCTCCATGTAAATTATTTCCTTCCTAAACTTGTTGGGGAAAAAAAGAAAAAAGTAAACACCTAGACATAGGATGATCTTTAGGAAAAGGCTTTTAATGATGGGTTCAGTTTCTAAAGGACTACTCAGATTTCCTATTCCTTTTTTAGTTAGTTATGGTAAGTTGGATTTCTCTAGGACTGCACATCTCAAACTTTTTGGTCTCAGAATACTTTGACATTTAAAAAAATTACTGAGCCCCCCTCTACCAAAGAACTTCTTTTTATGTAAGAAATATTTATATTTACTGATATCTATTGCATTAGGAATTAAAACAACAAATACTAAAGATGTTATTTCTAAATGAATTAATAAATAATGAACTCATTACATGTTAACATAACATTTTTATTTAAAACAGTGCTTCTAAATTTTAAAAATTGCATAAGACATCTGAGCTATCTGCTGCTACATACGATGTGTTGCGTTACATTATTTTGATTGAAGGATATGAAGAAAACCTGACTTCATACATATATGTAGCTGGAAAAGAGAGGAATATTTGAATAGCCTTTTCAGATAATTGTTAATATTCTTGTTTTGTTACTTCACTAAAATTTGCTAAGTGGTAGTTTCTTAAAGCTTAATCTGCTGAGCTGAGTGAGTTGAGTGTTCGGAGAAATAAAATGGTTTATTTACTGAAAACCGTCCAGTCCAGAGGCTTATAATTCATTTTGTAAGACCTTAGACTTACTTTTTTTTTTTTTTTTTCAAAAATATGGGGCCAGAGGACGGGAGGCAAAAAATAATTCACTTGGATAATATCTTTTCCTTTCTGGAAACGAGAGAACTCTCCAATTGCACGAGTTCTGACATGTTCTAGTTAACATCTCTCTTTCTCAACCTGTGTTGGTTCACCCTCTGGGTATGCAGGTCAGAAAGAAAACTTACAGGTTATGTGGGCCGTGGGTGAGAGGGCCAAGAAATGACAAGTACTGAAGCAGGGAAAGCTCTGGTGTCTCCAGTGATTAGATGGTGAGGTGTCACCACCAAGGCGAGCACTGGCTCATCTGCCCACGGCCAACAGAGCAAGCCTCATAGAACTGGGTATTGGGCCTAAAAAATACAAGCTCCTCAGCCCCTGCACTTCTAGAGAACATGAAGAATGAGGTTAAATTTAGGAGGCATTTTTTCATAATGAAGTTTTCATTAGCATCCCTTTGTAGCTAAAGTTGCACAGAGTGTGTTTTAGGTAAAGGAGGAAGATGGCTTAAGAGCTAGAATTAATGTGGAGAGAGAGAGTTTCTGGAGAGAGGCAGACTGGCTATTCAGATATGCTTGGCTTTGGGGTTTGTTAGGGTTAGTACTCAAACTTGATTTTGTCAGAACCTGAATTAACTTCAGAAGCAGTTAATGATAATGAAAGTAGTAGAAGGTCAATATGTTTATTGACTGGCATTTTCAGTCAATTAGGGCAGATTAGGAGATTAGGGCACTCGCAGCCTCATATCAGAAGGTAACTGTTAGGCCACTTTGGTCATCAGAAGTGAGTTTATGGACATAGAATTAAGAGCACAAGGAGCATCATTTTTTATAATTCTGAACATTTTTTTTCCTGCCTTGGGAAAAGCATGCTTTATAATTTTTCTACTTTTTTTAGTGATGGAATATTTATGTCCATCAGTCTTAGTTTTTTCACTCTGCAGTAAACATTGTCAAATTTTGATCTTCGGCTTCCTTTTTCTAGACTCCAAGCAGACCACATTTCTTCTGTTGTCACATTCTTCCTTCAGGTGTGTCAGTACGACTGTGTTACACTCAGCTTCTGCTTCTGCTGAGATGCTTTAATTGGACACTCAACACTTCGCCCTCCTGCTTCCATTGCAGAGAATTGGTCTTACCCACTGGTGTGAAGTTCACTAGTTGAAACATGGGAAAATCTCTTTATCTTACAGTTCAGAGGACACAAATTTACTACACCTCCTACTTCATTACATTTCCAACTAAGAATAATTTAATTATTTTCTCCAAATACACCCATCAGTTTGGGGAGGGGAAAATGTCTCATAACTTTAAGAGCAAACGTGTTTTAAGAGATTAAAAGCAAAATCTAATTTTAAAAAGTTTAAAATTCAGGATCTGTTTAGCTTGAAAGGGATTGTTGTAAATTACCTTGAAAATATTCAGTATTCAAGGACGGAAGATAAATGACACTGACAGACTGGTTAGACACAATCTAATAGTGTAAAGACATTAAAACAAGATGCTGACATGTCTGTGGCAAAGGGCTGGCATATGATAACTCTTGCCAGATTAAAGATTCTGGAAAGTAATAAATTATATTTCCATTGCAAATCTGAGCAAAAGGACTCTATATAAAGCAGTAATGACTCTCTTTGAAAAGTGTTTATCGAAGTAAACTGTGTGCCAGATAAATTCACAACAAACCTGCCATATGTTTTTACTGTCTTGCATATGTGAAAATTGAGGCTTAAAAGATAATTTTAAGGAAAAGGTAAAATCATGGTCCTCAGGTATAAAAATGTACTACATGTGTTCAAGGCTTTATCTGATGCATTAATCTGAAGAATTAACCACATGTTATAACACATTCAAATTTAAATTTTTTAGAAAAGGGCACAAGTGTATGTGGAGTAAAAAAGAATGTTAAAAAT